AGGGGTGACAGGGAAGGGGTGGCAGGGAAGGGGTGACAGGGAAGGGGTGGCAGGGAAGGGGTGACAGGGAAGGGGAACGCCTCCCCCGGCTCCGGGTGGGCAAATCCCACACCCCGCGGGTGCCCCCATGGCCGAGCTGCCCCCCGAGGCCTCCTGCCCCATCTGCCTGGAGCTCTTCAGGGACCCCGTGTCCATCCACTGCGGCCACCACTTCTGCCGGGGCTGCATCAGCCGCTGCTGGGAAGGGGCCAGCGAGGGGTTCCCGTGCCCGCGGTGCCGGGAACCGGCACCGGAGCCCACCCTGCGGCCCGGCCGGGACCTGGCCCGGCTGCTGGACATCGCCCGCAGCCTCTGCCTGGGGGCAGCCCGGGGGCAGCAGCAGGAGGAGGAGGAGGAGGAGGAGGAGGAGGAAGGCTGTGAGAAGCACCGGGAGCCCCTGAGGGTATTCTGCGAGGAGGACAAAGCGCTGCTGTGCGGGGTCTGCCGCGAGTCCCGCGCCCACCGCGCCCACACCCTGCTGGCCCTGCCCGAGGCTCACAGGCGCTTCCAGGTGAGGGGGCACCACCGGCAGGGCCCGGGGCAGGGATGCCCCCCCAGAGCTGCCCCTGCAGCCCCTTTGGGTGTTGGTCCCTCGTGGGGTCCCCCCTTTGTGGGGTCAGCACGGGGGGTTTGGCCCTGGTTGGACTCTGATCCATCCCTGGACTCTGATCCATCCCTGGTTGGATTCCTGATCCATCCCTGGACTCAGTGATCCATCCATGCTTGGATTCTGATCCATCCATGCTTGGATTCTGATCCATCCCTGGACTCAGTGATCCCTGGTTGGATTCCTGATCCATCCCTGAACTCAGTGATCCATCCCTGAACTCAGTGATCCCTGGTTGGATTCCTGATCCATCCATGCTTGGATTCTGATCCATCCCTGGACTCAGTGATCCATCCCTGGTTGGATTCCTGATCCATCCCTGGATTCAGTGATCCATCCATGCTTGGATTCTGATCCATCCCCGGTTGGATTCCTGATCCATCCCTGATTGGATTCTGATCCATCCCTGGTTGGATTCCTGATCCATCCCTGATTGGATTCTGATCCATCCCTGGTTGGATTCCCGATCCATCCCTGGTTGGATTCCTGATCCACCCCTGGTTGGACTCTGATCCATCCCTGGTTGGATTCCTGATCCATCCCTGGTTGGATTCCTGATCCATCCCTGGTTGGATTCCTGATCCACCCCTGGTTGGACTCTGATCCATCCCTGGTTGGATTCCTGATCCATCCCTGGTTGGATTCCTGATCCACCCCTGGTTGGACTCTGATCCACCCCTGGTTGGACTCTGATCCATCCCTGGTTGGATTCCTGATCCATCCCTGGACTCAGTGATCCACCCCTGGTTGGATTCCTGATCCATCCCTGTTTGGATGAGCCCCTGCAGCTTTTCTGGGCCGTCCCAAACCTCCAGAGAACCCTCTGGACCCTCCTTTTCCCTCCCCCCAGACCCAAGTGCAGGCCGGGCTGCAAACCCTGAGGGACGACAGGGACCGACTCCTGGAGCTCCGAGAGGCTGAAATGAGGAGGAACTGGGAGTTTTTGGTAAACCTTTGAAGGGGAGGAGGGATGGGGGGGTGGGCGTCTCGTGCTGGATTTGGGGGGGGTCACCCCCAGGCTTGGGGTCCCTCCCCAGGCCCCAAATCAGACGGGGGGTCCCTTCCCACCTCCGTTCCCGCAGGAGAAGATGGAAGGGGAGCGGCAGAGGGTCCTGTCCCTCTGCCAGGGGCTCCAGCTGTCCCTGGAGGAGCTGGCCCAGGAGCTCCTGGCCCGGCTCGGGGACCTGGAGAGGCACCTGGAGAAGCAGCAGGAGGAGAAGGTGACGAGCCTGACCCAGGAGATCTCCCGGCTGGACTCCCGGCTCCAGGAGCTGCAGGACAAGCTCCAGGAACCGGCCGGGACCTTCCTGAGGGTGAGGGGGAGCAGCCAGGGACCCCACCCTGCTGGTAACGCGGCCCCCCAGTCACCCCCTGCCCCTCTGTGCCCCCCCAGGACATCGGCAGCACCCTGAGCAGGCACGGACGGCGCTCCCCAACCCCCCCCCCCGGACCGGGATCGGGGTCGGACCCGGGGTTGGGTCTCCCCGAGGGGTCGGATCTTCGGGACCCTCGAGCCGAGGGGTCCCCTGAGCCCAGAGGGGTCCTGGGGCTCCCCCGACCCCCTCCCTCTGTCCCCTCCCAAGGCTCCAGAGGGAACGTTTCCAGCCGCCCCCGTCGCCTCTCCCGGAGCTGGAAGAGAGGATCGGCCGCTTCAGGGAGAGAAACGACGCCCTGGAGGGGACTCTGAGGAGCTTCCAAGGTACTGAGGGAGGGCCGGGGGAAATTGCGGCGATTATGCCGCATTTTTCCATTAATGAGGTGGAATTCCATGTGTTTGTGACCTTCATTACAGAGGTGCGTGGCCACAGATTGTATTTGTTTTATTGCAGTTTTATTGTATTGCAATTTGATTTTATTTTATTTTATTGCAATTTGATTTGATTTGATTTCATTGCAATTTCATTTTATTGCAATGATATTTTATCGCAATTTTATCGCCACGATATTTCGTATCGGTGGGCATTTGCAAGCTCGGCGCGGCAGAACTTGTCTGGCACCCTAATTTTTTACGTCAATTAACAAGCACCGACTGATAAACGTCGACTGATTAAACCAGCAACTCATTGTTAATAAACCTGACGTCTCTGCCCTCCCCCTTTCCAGACGTGCTGATGTTTGAGCTGCCTGAAAAGAGTAAGTTTGGATCCCTGGGGATGGGGGGGAGAGGGGAGGACCAAAGGGGGGGTCCCTGGGCTGATCCTTGGGGGGGGCCCCGAGCTGGGAGGGGTCTCCTAGGGGGACCCGCGATGGGGAAGGGGGGATGGGGAAGGGCAGGACCCCCCCCAGGCCGGTGCTGGAGGCGCCTCAGGGACCATCCCTGCCTTCCCCCCCGGCTG